CAATTAGTACATATTGTCTTGCCGCCATTGTGTTCGTATCTCATGCCACCTTTTGGGGTGCTGCCATAACACAATCCGTATCTCAAACACAACCTTCCTAATTAGTCGCCCGTTACGTACTCACTGCCCTTGTAAGGTTCTTCTCTTTTTTATTATAGGCAGATCAACGATCTGGAATAATTGCATTATACAATTTGCTAAAAAACCCTATTAGTAATGGCTCAGAATCCTCTAGCATCGCTTGAAAGTTATCTGGATCTAATTCAAGTGCTTGGCTTTCTCTTCTTTGCTTTTCATAGAGTACTTTGGTCATCAAAAAAATCTTCTCACCAAAAGTTAAGGGTTTTATAGTATTTATGTTATTTTGCCTATTACTAGTAGGCAGATTATTTGTATTGAGATAATGAGTACTATTATTTTTATCATTATGATCAGGCTCAATAATTATAAGATAATGAGGATAACATAATTGCATTTCGACTTCTAAGTAATTAAATTGATTAAAAGTGCCTTTTACTTTTGCTTTTTGTAGAGCTTTATCTGTAATTCTACGAAATTAATTCGAGTTAGTTTGGCAACTTCTAATAGAACAAGGACTGAAATTTTTTTTTGGAGGCATTATATTTGTATATACTAGCAGTTTGGAAATTAGATTTAGATATCAAGATTTTTTTAAAAAATAAATTTTTAGATTTTTATTTTTATTACATTTGATAATCAAATTTAATATTGTAAAATACAACTTTCGGGATATCTTGCATATCGTATTACCTAACTAATAATATGATCATCTTTACTTTCTCTTACAACAAATTTTATTCTAGCAATTATATATTTAAAAATCGCTTATTAGAGAACTGAGTTGACCCCGAGAAGAAATTGTTTATAGTAAATATGTGTACTCTAATTTAATATATCATCCTTAACGAGTCCATTCTTTATTTCACTAATATTATACAATAAATAATATTTAAATTGGGTCTCTCTCTTACTTAATCGGCGATTAACTTTATATGGCACGTGATATATGCGGTTATTTTATTGGCTAACATATTAAAAAAGTCATATAACATATTGACGTCGATCACAAAAATTTAACCAATTAAAACAAACTTCCATCTTGCTAAGGTATATAAAAAAACTTATATAATGTGCAATATAAAAAATCTCTTGTATATTTAAACATTTATATGAATGAATTTACATTAAAAAGACGTGAATTATGAGCAAATATAAAGAATTTCTTTGCACTTTAGATTAGTTTATGTATAAAAAATTTAATGTAATTTTTTATTTTTTATTTTTTATTTTTTTAAACGGTACTTGCTTTATTATCTTCAGTAGTTAAGTGTCTCTTTTTATTGAGACGTACAAGGTTTTATCAGTACAGAAACTTCTAGAAACTATACCCCCACTGACTCTGTAACAAAGCTTACTCAGCTGCTCTAAAGTGCTCAAGTGTAACCGTCTAGCTACAGATTTACTTTCCCTTTGGCCTCTAACTTACTAGGGGGTTTCCCTCCAGATCAACAGTAGGCCGTGCTCACCTATTTTAATTCATATACATCTCGCTATATATACTACTGTACAATATCCACCAGTTATAATCCACTTATCACATTACTCCTAATTCGTATTTTGTATAACTTCCAAATTGGTGTTCTTGGAGTGGGCGCTCTTCTTGCTTCCAGTTTGGTATTCCTTAAGTATGTTACTTCAGAGCCTAATCTGTATCTCAAGCCAGGTGCTGCTGCTGTCTGAAGACCCGTATCTCAAGCCACCTGCTACCGCCATTAGGAGAGTTGTTCATATGGGTCCAGGTATTAACGTCATACACCACTTAATTAGGCCACCACCCCTTTTTAAGTACTCCCTATTAGTATGGTGATATAGAAGTCTAAATCCTTAGGATGGGAGTTAAGAACCTCATTTAATTACTGCCACAAAGCAGTAACCCAGGACCTGTGCTTCTGCTGTGTTTTGTCATAGACTCCCATATAGGTTGTGCGACTATACTCACTAGCTGTCTTTATGTTCATACCACCAGGATGCTTGCTTCCATGCTTTTCGGGTTTTTTTAACTAGTTTTCTTTGTTTCTTCATTGCACCAGAGATGTTCCATATTTGGTAAAGCCATTCTCTTACCACAGCCCCTTACTATGTTCACTGCTTCTCTCACCACTTCTGGATATACTGTATATAGCTGTCCTCCCAATCAAGATCCCAATGCCGACTTAAAGTTGTTGGTGCTATCTTGTTAATTGTGAATTCACATGCACAGTCTTCTGCAGTAATACCTTCTGTAACCCATGTCACACGTAGTGCCTGATCTTCTCCATGGCTTGGGACTCCTTCCAAGAATTCTTTATTGGCCAAATATATACTTCACATGGTCTTACCACCACAGAGTTCTGCATTCAAAAGCCCCCGTAGGTTACAGAGATAATTAATTCAATTAATTGTTACTAGCTATAATTGAACTGTCGACCTTGTCTGTGGAAGGTTAGGTGCCTAGACCACTAGGCTACGGGACTCTAACCCCCAATGTAATTTTTTATTTTTATTTTATTTTATTTATTTTTTATTCTTTGACAGTCTTGTCGATGCTCAAATACAAATTATATTACTATTAGACTACAAAACAAAGTTTCAATTCTAATAATATCTAATTAAAAATTGCA